TGAGGGGATACAGTTATTTTAGATTAAGACTGTTATGGACAATGAACTCAGAATAACAGGATTACTCTAAACTGCCTCAAATATCCAACCTAATCTTTCCATTCTATTCAACATAAAAATCCTGCCAAACAGAAAAAAGGCAGTTTTAAAGGTCCACTTAGGAAAAAATTTACCAACTTACTCAGGTCAATCCTCAAAGGGAACAGCTCTTCTCATTTTTTAGAAGAAAAGCAATCTGAAAATAGCAAAATTGTTTTCATCTGACAGTTTGGGGCCTAATATCCAAATTTTTCATGACAACATGAAGAAAGAGTAAGATCAAATTAATCTTACAAGCTTCTCCTTTGCTGCTGGCCATCTTTATTTTTAGGACATTCTCTGGCAGTTCTAGTATCAAATGATTCTATAATGAGACTATGTGGCTTCACAAGTCGGCAGGTGTCTGATCCCAAGCCCACTGCAACTCCATCTGCTGCCCACCCAGACTCGTATATTTACACTGGGAAAAGTCCATGAGAGGGCAGGAATGCATGGCTCACCTCACACCAGAGCTCCAACATTAACTGTCTCAAAACAAAACAAACAAACAAAAAAAACCCCAAAAGGTCTAAATTAGAGTTATTTAAATCTTCCTGGACAAAAGAACCTTATAGCCTAGAAATTCTAAATCCTACTTTAATGAATTCTACTTTGCTATAAATAATGGTACAGAAAAGTAAGCTGTCCTTTTACTCAGAATAAATCAGCTTTGCATTTTTAATAGAAGTTAAGCACAAAAGACTAGATGGGGACAGAAGGGAAAGGTTATTATTCTGCTAAGATGCTGCCTTAAAAGGCCCACTTTATACAACGGTGGTAGTAATGGATTGCTTGGTTTAGCTTGAAAAGGAACATCTGGTACAATCTATATCAAAGTGAAAAAGTTCAAATCAAAGTACGATGGGACTGTGGGAGATAGAAAGAAAATGATGAGTAAATGGGGAGGAAAGTACCATCAGTACAATTAGAGTTTTTTTTTTTTTTTTTTTTGAGACAGAGTCTCACTTTGTTGCCCAGGCTAGAATGAGCGCCGTGGCGTCAGCCTAGCTCACAGCAACCTCAAACTCCTGGCTCAAGCAATCCTCCTGCCTCAGCCTCCTAAGTAGCTGGGACTACAGGCATGCACCACCATGCCTGGCTAATTTTTTCTATATATATTAGTTGGCCAATTAATTTCTTTCTATTTATAGTAGAGACGGGGTCTCGCTCTTGCTCAGGCTGGTTTCGAACTCCTGACCTCGAGCAATCCGCCCGCCTCGGCCTCCTAGAGAGCTAGGATTACAGGCGTGAGCCACCACACCGGCCTAGACTCTTTTTTTAAAAGATAAAATAAAAGAAAGTAATTAGAAACAATAACCAGTGGGTGCCCAGGAGTTGCTCAGGAGAACCAAAAAGACAAACGGAAAAGAGGAACAGATCTTACACTCAACATGCCCAACCCAAACCAATCATCTGCCCAAATCTCCCTTCTGGTGAACTTGCCCATGTTTATTTGTAGAAACATCGCCTTTCACAATTGTTCCTCCTCTTCTCTCACTTTCACATTCACATTAGGTATCAAAGTCGTCCTCTTCTTTTAGAATACCTCTAAATATAACAAGGATGGTCATCTGAGCATTATTTTAAATGAGAGGAAGGAAAGATCCTAACATGTCCACTGGTAGTGGAATTGTTAAATAAACTATGGTACATTCATAATTGAATATTGTGTACCCATTACAAATGTTATTTACAGGAAAAAACTAGAAAAAAAAATCCTGGAGAAATTGCCCTGATCAAGCCTTATCTGATCTCTACCTTTGAACTTTTTGATTATGTAAACCAACACATATATACCTTTTATTGTTTAGGTCAGTATGAGTAGCACCTTATGTTATCTGCAAACAACAGTGGCTCAACATAATTGGAAAATGTTTGTTTTTTCAAAAAGGCAAGTTTGTATACAGTTAAAAATGCCCCAGAAAAAAATTATTATTAGGAAAGACAAAATATAAACAGTGACTATTTCTGGGTGGTATATTGGATGAAACTCCTATTCCCTTTACACTCCACCACTTGGAGAATCCTGCCACTTGAAACACTGTTCTCTCCTTTTTCTACCTATCCAAATTTCCACCACATAGGATCAGTGCTTCTCTTATGCTCTACCTATAATCCCCAACAACTTCTTCCCCTGAATGTTTGATGCATCAACAGTTAACAGGAGCAACCATCCTAATAACCACCTCATTTGTTGAACACCTATTATAATACTAGCTACAGTCCTGGGCACTTTATATTATATTATTATACTTAAGCATAACTGTTTCTCTATTAGTCATTTCTACCCAACTAAACACTAAATTGATGGAGGGCAGGAATTATTTTACATTTCTGTTGAATTGCCTTAACACCTAGCATATTCTATTATAAAATAAAGCAGAGGTTCCATAAATACATTTGGAAGAGGAAAAATAACTTTTAATAGATACTCAAAAGATGTGACCCCCAAACAAGTTAAGAACTACTGCAATAGCAATTCTCAACAAATACTATTTTTTGCCTTGAATAAAACAAATACTTCTTAAATCAATAAAGGATCAACAATAAACCAAAGATTCCCAGGTAAACTAGCTTTTGATATATACTAGTCAGCACAAGGAGGACCTTATTTCTAGTTATATTCTGAGTGTATTTTAAGGCTTTAGGAATCTTGCATGGAGACTCTGAAGAAATGGAGACAAACACAGAATCCTCTTGCCCCATCAAATGACAGCACTGTTAATGGTCCCTCTCCACTGGACTTGGGGAGAGTGCCTATGCTTTCACCCTCCTGTTGGTATGAAGTGGATCTGTTTAACCTGAAGTCATTTTAACCTAGTCAAGAAGCTTTTCCCAGGCCTACTACACAATATAAGCACAGTACCACAGTGGGGCTGCTGATGGATATAAAATGCACAGAAGGTCTCAGTACTTATGAGTCTTACAATTTAGATGTGATGATTCTTACTTGAATCTATCACTTATAGGGCCACACTAATCTTACTAAGAGCCACAAATAAAATTAAAAATTAAGTTTTAAACCAGGTGTGGTGGCTCATGCCTGTAATCCCAGCACTTTGGGAGGGGAATCCTGCCACCCCCAATGCTACCCACCCCACTCGAGCCTATAAGTCAGTTATGACCATGTCACTATACTCCAGCCTGAGTAACAGAGCAAGACCCTGTCTTTAAAAAAATAATAATTAAGTTTTACTATAATCAATTTCATCAATTTACTATAATCATTGGTATGGCAATGGGATCCAGTATTTGTCACAAAGGCCATAATCCCACTGTTACTTGTGTTTTTTTAAAAGTGAGATCAAGGCCGGGCGCAGTGGCTCACGCCTGTAATCCTAGCACTCTGGGAGGCCGAGGTGGGCGGATTGCTCAAGCTCGGGAGTTCGAAACCAGCCTGAGCAAGAGCGAGACCCCTTCTCTACTATAAATAGAAAGAAATTAATTGACCAACTAATATATATAGAAAAAATTAGCCGGGCATGGTGGCGCACGCCTGTAGTCCCAGCTCCTCGGGAGGCTGAGGCAGTAGGATCCCTTGAGCCTAGGAGTTTGAGGTTGCTGTGAGCTAGGCTGATGCCACGGCACTCACTCTAGCCTGGCCAACAGAGCGAGACTCTGTCTCATAAAAAAAAAAAAAAAAGTGAGATCAGGAGATAGAAATAGCCTAAAGCAATAAAGTTGGAGGTGACTCACTTTCCTCAATGTTAAGGCTTCTTACAGCTGGGGAAAATGCATAAAGAAGTTGTCTAGTGAGAATGGGTTGAGTGCTTTATTGTTCATTTAATAGAGTAGTGGGCAAAGATTCGGAACCACCCACAGTACTTTTAGTCAAATCTTTTCCCGTGGTTTAGCATTCAACCTCTTACTTTCCTTTACTAGATGATTACTAGTTTTCCCATCTCTGTTTATGGTACCAGTATTTCCCTGGCCTCAAAACCCTGGAATACCCTAGCTCAGGCATCCTCAAACTATGGCCCTCGGGCCACATGCGGGTATTTTTGCCCGTTTGTTTTTTTACTTCAAAATAAGATATGTGCAGTGTGCATAGGAATTTGTTCATAGTTTTTTTTAAACTATAGTCCAGCCCTCCAATGGTCTGAGGGACAGTGAACTGGCCCCCTGTTAAAAAAGTGAGGACCCCTGCTAGCTAAACAGAACCTCTTACCCAATCTTCAAATCTTATTATCTTTTCCCTTGTAACGCCCTCTAGATTTTAATTCCTTTTTTACATCCAGTAACTTATTCTATCATTATGCCTAAAACAAAACTGCTTCTTCTTAGTAATAACTATATATTTGCTGTTTTAACTGCTTACATATTTCAATTAGTTTAATCCTCACAAAAATCTAATTAGTAAGGGCTATTATTAGCCCCATGTTTCCAAAGAGAAGTTTTGGCACAAATAAGTTCAAAAAAAAATTGCCCAACATCACATTCATGGTAAATGGCACAAAGCTTGAATCCAGATGGTCTGGCTCCAGCCTGGGTTCTTTGTATCTGGCCTCTCATCTTTCCCTACTTCAATCCATACTATTCAAAAGAATCTTTCTAAAATATAGCTTTGGTAAGCTCACTGTTTCAGAACCTATTAAAAATGCTGCTGTTGGGCAGGCGTGGTGGCTCAAGCCTGTAATCCTAGCACTCTGGGAGGCCAAGGTGCTCGGATTGCTCCAGGTCAGGAATTCAAAACCAGCCTGAGTGAGACCCCGTCTCTACTAAAAATAGAAAGAAACTAATTGACCAACTAAAAATATATATACAAAAAATTAGCCGGGCATGGTGTCACATGCCTGTAGTCCCAGCTACCTGGGAGGCTGAGGCAGTAGGATCACTTGAGCCCAGGAGTTTGAGGTTGCTATGAGCTAGGCTGATGCCACGGCACTCACTCTAGCCTGGGCAACAAAGTAAGACTCTGTCTCAAAAAAAAAAAAAAAATGCTGCTGTCTCTTTCATTAAGGTAAATGCCTGTCTTCTGATCGGCCACAGTTCAAATCTCAACCAGATAAAATGATGTTCAAATGCCTGCTTCTCCCACTTAACAGCTGTGGGATTTTACACAAGTTACTCAACATCTTTAAGTCTCTGTACTCTAATGCAGTATTTCCTAGTATAGAGTCCAAAATAATTTACAGTACATATCACTACATCTGATGCTATCTTACTATAAATCTTTTAAATCAGTGTTTAATTAGAGTATGTACGTCATATAACTGCCTCCTTTACAAACTGTTGCATAGGGACATACTGCCTTACCAGTTCAAACTCCTAGTAGACGGAAACTGTCTCTTTGGCACAAACTCAAAAGCTTGCTGACTGACCTATACATAATATATAAAAAGAATATCTCAGAACTGTATTAATTTATGACTGTCCTCATTTTATATCAACTTAACCACTAACCTAAGAGTTCAAAGTGGGATATATCAAAGCTAACTTATTTAAATGATTTTATGCTGAAACAAGGAATAGCAGCCCCAATTCTTAGCAAAACTGAAGGTTTCTTTACACCACAAGACCATGAGCCAAAGAGATAAAAATTTAAGAAGGCAAAACATAAGATGACATAATCAACCTTATGTAAGAAACTTAATTTATTCCTTTGCTGCTTCTGAGCGCAGCTGGTAAGTCAGAATGTAAGAGCTCTGAGACAAAGACTGTGGATGGTATGGACTGGACTGGTCAAAGAATGCTCCTGTCTCTGGCTGACAGTCTACCCAAAGATGGCACTGGTCATGAGACAGTGGTGTTAAAACTTGTTGATTCTCTGATGCAAATGTACCTACCACTACTAGAAAAACAAATCAAAACATATGCACCCCTTGGCTTTAAGAACAGCATTACTTACTCAAAACATGGATTATCACAGTACTAACGAAGAGCACAGACACTCAAAATTTATGAATGCTTAAAGCAGAGGCTCAAACTGACTCTTGAAGTCAAACTGACAGTTCCCAATACAGATGCAAATTCATTATTTTTTGAATATCATATGGTTAGCATGTTAATGCAAGTCACTGATGCAATATTCAAATCGAGCCCTAAGTTTATCACTAGTGTCCCTACACTCTAAGAGCTGGCTTCTATTGGCAAATTTAAAAAGAGATATTAATGTCTTGTTGACTGAAATGTACTATTCAGGGCCTGGAAGAACTGAAATGTCAGTTCATAAAAAAATTTTCAGGAGTGTGTCAGATCTGCCTGCATGAATTTCAATATGATGACTTTCCAGACTCTGACTAAGAGAGAATTTGTACCACTTGTTCCTTCTGACTTCAGTATCTTGTTCGGCTTGGACACATTCCAGGTTGGCTACAGCTATGTTTGGCACCACAAAGCATGCCAGCCAGTCCTAGCTGTGCTGCTAATAAGAGGTCAGAAAGCATCCCTGGAAATTCGAGGACAC